CGGCCAAGGAGTACATCGCCGCACTGAGGAAAGCCGCCAAACATTGCGAGTTCAAGGACCTTGAAGAACGACTGAGGGACCGGTTTGTATGCGGACTAAGGCATCGAGAGTTGCAACAGAGACTTTTCGCCAAGGAGGACTTGTCTTTCCAAGATGCCTTGAGAGAGGTCACCGCAGAAGAAGCAGCGGGCGGCGCCATCAAGAACATGCGGCCGATCAGAAACAGTCCAGATGCTGCATCCATGCACCAGGAAGAAGTCCAAAGAAACTCCGAGGAGGAACCGGATGAGGAAGTGGATCATCTCCACCCCACAAAGGAAGGAAAACCAAGAGGAAGCTCTTCAGCTCTCCCCATGTGCATCGGTTGTGGAGGTCGCCACAAGAGAACCAACTGCAAGTTCCGCTCTGCTATCTGCCAGGCATGCGGAAAACAAGGACACATTGCAGCTGTGTGCCTGGGCTGTCAGAAGGTACAACCTCAGGAAGAATTGCGCCTGAAAGGTACCAGGATCCCCAGCCAGCATAGGGTGGGGTTTTGCGCTTCGCGAAGAAGCATCTATAGGACAGGCACACACAAGCCCATTAAGAAAAAGCTGTCACTTAAGGTGAAGCTACAAGGGGTTCCATTAACTATGGAACTGGACACGGGGTCTGCACTTTCAATCATTTCTATGCATACATTTAAGAAGATTTGTTCTGGCAGCAGAACCCAGGCCAAGTTGAGGCCTTCTGACATTGTGCTAACGGATTTTCAAAACTCCAGAGTTTGTGTTAAGGGGGAGGCCACCCTTAACGTACAGTATAAGGATTTTGAGGGTCCATTAGACCTATTGGTAGTAGGGGGTGAACGAACGAGTCTCATAGGACTCGAGTGGTTTGAGGCCTTGGGAATACACGTCACAGGGCTCAACAGCCTACAAACACTCAACCTACAGGAAGTCTGCAAAGAATTTGCAGACGTTTTCAGCCCCCAGCTGGGCACATTCAAAGGACCCCCTGTGTCATTAAAGCTAGACCCCACGGTCACTCCCATTAGAATTAAAGCAAGAAGGGTCCCTTTTGCTTTAAAGAGTAAAATTGACACTGAGTTGGATAAACTGATCCAACAAGGAATTCTAGAACCTGTTGACTCCAGTCCATGGGAGACCCCCATTGTCACGCCTCTTAAGGCAAATGGGGACATTCGCATCTGTGCTGATTACAAATGCACTCTAAATAAGGCATTGCAGCAACGTGCCTATCCTGTTCCTGTGGTCAGTCATATCCTGGCCTCCCTCAAGGGGGGACGCGTTTTTGCAAAGCTTGACCTAGCTCAAGCATATCAACAGCTGCCTGTTGATGATGACGCTGCTACAGCTCAGACTATTATGACCCACAGAGGGGCTTTCAAGGGCTATTTCAAGGTAAAGAGACTTCAATTTGGAGTAAATGTCGCTCCTGGAATTTTCAAAAGCATAATGGAAAACACACTACGGGGTATACCAGGGGTTTGCCCCTATTTTGATGATGTCTTAATTGCAGGAGACTCCACACACATTCTAGCTGAAAGGCTAAGGGCTGTCCTGTTAAGGTTCAGGAAAACGGGACTCAAACTCAAGAAGGACAAATGTAAAATTGGGGTACCTTCTACTGAGTTTCTGGGGTTCAAAATTGATGCTGCTGGGATTCATCCTGCTGAATCCAAACTAAAAGCCATTATGCAAGCCCCTAGGCCAAAGTCTAAGGCCGAACTACAGGCTTTTCTGGGCCTTCTGAATTTCTACAATTCCTTTCTTCCACATAAGGCTAGTGTAGCTGAGTCTCTTCACAGGCTATTAGATAAACAGGCAGTGTGGCAGTGGTCACAAACACATGAGGCTAGTTTCAATGAGGTCAAGGCCCTGCTCACTTCTAACAGTGTACTTGCTCACTTCAATGAGTCCCTTCCTGTGTGCATCGCTTGTGATGGTTCCCCTTATGGGGTGGGTGCTGTACTGAGCCACCTCAGATCTGATGGAACTCAGATTCCTGTTGCATATTACTCCAGAACATTGTCTTCAGCTGAGCGCAACTATGCTCAAATAGACAGGGAGGCCTTAGCTGTTGTTGCGGGAATTAAAAAATTCCATGATTTTTTATATGGTAGGCATTTCACGGTCTTCACTGACCATAAGCCTTTGCTGGGACTGTTTACCACACGTAAACAAACTCCCCAAATCATCTCCCCCAGGATGCTCAGGTGGTCTATCTTTTTGTCTGCATATGATTTTTCCCTACTTCACAAGCCTGGGAAGGAAATGGGCCATGCTGATGGCCTCAGTAGATTACCCCTGCCGGTAATAGAGGCTGACCCTGCGCCAGCCATCAATATTCTCTCTATTCAAGCCTTGCCCGAGTCCCCCCTGAATGCCAGGGATGTAGCCGCTGAATCAGGCACAGATCACACACCTTCACGTGTCCTTTCTTGGGGTTTGTCTGGATGGCCTGAGCACTGTCCTAGTCCTGAGTTTCAGAGTTTCTGGTCAAAAAGGAACGAGTTGTCCACCTCTCAGGGTTGTCTGCTTTGGGGACGCAGAGTTGTCATTCCCACCTCAATGAGGACTAGGGTCTTAGGTTCCCTCCACGAGGGTCATCCTGGCATTGTACGAATGAAGGCTCTTGCGCGCAGCCACTTGTGGTGGCCGGGGGTAGACAAAGACATAGAAGCTAAGGTGCATGCTTGCCACCTTTGTCAACGCTCACGCCCTGAAATGCCCCAAGCTCCTGTGCATAGATGGGAGGAAACACAGTCTCCATGGTCTAGGGTGCACATTGACTACGCTGGGCCCTTTCAGGGTCAATTCTTCTTGGTCCTCGTTGACAGCCATTCAAAATGGCTTGAGGTTGTACCTGTCTCTTCCACCACCACTGCAAAGACTATTCAGGTACTGAGGGGGATTTTTGCTGCACACGGGCTCCCAGACGTCATTGTGTCTGACAACGGCCCTCAATTCACTTCCTCCGAATTCCAAGCTTTCTTGCAGGCTAACATGATTCGTCATGCCACTTCTGCACCTTTCCACCCGTCCACCAACGGTATGGCTGAACGCATGGTTCGCATCACCAAGGACGCCTTGAAGAAGCTCACCTACGGAGACTGGCATCACAGGTTGGCTGACTTCCTCCTTTCTTATCGCACCACACCATCCACTTCTACAGGGAGAAGCCCAGCTGAACTTTGTTGGGGGCGCCAACTGACTACCAAGCTTGACCGGTTGCATCCGGACAGACTGCCTCCTTCTGTCTCACACCCCAGGGCACCTAGACAACTACTTGTGGGCACCCCGGTTTGGATCTCATAATTATGGGCCAGGTCATACATGGGTCCCCGCTTCTATATCCAGGGTCACAGGTCCTCTTTCCTACGAGGTGTCCCTGGACAACGGTCGTGTCCTGCGTCGGCACATCGACCAACTTCGCCCTAGACGGGACCTTCCTGCTGAGACTCCTGGGTCTTTTCCAGGGGGGAGGGGGAACCCTTTGGGCAAAGGGAAGGGCAAGGGCTGATGCCCATTAGCAATGGGGAAGCCACAAACGGCCCATTTCAAGATTCCGTGAGTGCTCCGAACAGGAATTCATGGAGCCCAACTAGAAGCCAGGCATCAATGCCTACTCCAGCCAGGGAGTCACCCCGGGGGTACAATCATTACTCACCTGCATCACACAGTACTCCATTCAGAGAGAATACCCGGGAGCATCCCAATAAACCATTCCCCGCAAGAGAGCTGGCACACACTCCTTCTAGTTGGCCCGACACTACCCCTGTCCCTAGAAGGGGGCAAACACACAGGGAGGTGGTCGAGGAACCAAATCCTGACTACAACACCTCTGACTTCACTCAGGGGACAACTGAGTTTTGGGACAACACTGAAACCCACACAAGCCTGAACACGGAACGGGATTCAGGGGACAGACAGCCTTCTGACAGGTCTTGGACGGACCTAGGAGGCTCTACAGAAACGCCTAACAATGGCAATCACTTAGAAAGGCCAGAGAGCTACAGCTAGGTGGGACAACCAGGTCACACACTGGAAGAAGCCCTGGCCTGACGAGCCCGGTGGGCAAGCATGCAGGCCAGGCATTGGAGCACAGTCCTTGGAAATCACCAAGGCAAAACAAGGGGAACAGGCACGCATCACCCCTCTGTCAAGGGGTACTTGGCAGGTACCCAGAGCTTAGGAGGTCACAGAGAGCAAGGAAATCTCCTAAGTATTTAGAGGATTTTGTAACTCTATTGGCAAAACAGAGTTAGTAGAAGAAGCAGGACATTGAGGCTTATGGTAAACGGGGAATACCTGGTAGTGGGGAACATGGCGTTCCACTAAAAAATGGGTTATGTATTATTATGGCATGGGTAATAGTTTTGCCCCGGGGGGAAGGGGTGTTATGTCCTGAGCCTGTGCAAGCAGGCTCGTGGCATTGCAAACGGTCCCGGGCAGGTGCAAAGCTGCCCGGGACCAGACAGGCTGTCGCCAGTACGTGTGCGCATGCGCGGGTGCTGGCACGCCAAAAGTTGCAGATTGACCCGGGAAAGTCCTATAAATGGAGGCCGCAAGTTTTGGGCATTGCCGCCATATTCCAATGTAAGCTGAACTGAAGAATAAAGGTTTCCTGAGAACTACAACTGCTTCTCGTGTCTTACCATTTTGCGACGGACTCAACAGAAACCATGTAGTGGGGATGGCAATGGAGAAACTTATCTTCAGTAGGAAAGTGTGTCTGTTAGTCAGAGGGGGGACGCTACGCTAGACTGTGAGAGCAAAGGAAGGGAGAAAGAGGCAGGACATAGGCAAGCCTAAAGAAACAGAGGTTCTGGAAACATTATTCATTCTCTCTTCTGGTTTTTGACAAATATTGCTTCATATCTAGAAGAATTATGGATCCTCTTTAAATCCCAAGGTGCTCCTCCCAGGTGTAACATTGTCTGATAAGAAGAAAGATTTCTAAATTGGACCATGTCTAACACAGACTGAACCTCCTCCAGCAGACTGATCCAGCAGATCAGTTCCAATGTTTTGCACCTGATAGATGCCAAACGTTAATTTTTTGTTCTATCCAACAGAAAAGCAAAGTCCAGGAAGAACAAAGAAGAAATAAGAATGAAGGTAAATACCTTCAGCATTAGATGTAATCTTGACTGAATTTCACATTGATGCTCTTATTAACCTCATTTTCTCCCAGATATTTACCTACAGTTTTACTAAAATGCTCTGATTTTAATAATCTGGGAATTCTTGAATTAATGGTCCTCATTGCACTATATTATTTTTAAAATGTCATATTTCTAATAGAAATATAGTAAACTGTTAGATACATTCTATTAAAAGAAATAATTCTGCAACTTTCTTTCTAAGTTTCATTTCTGACATTTAACCACTAAAGTAAATAGGAAACAAGAGGTATTCTCCCTCCCCCACATTCAGGATAATGACAGAATGGCATAACTTTCAGGTGTGGCACTCACAGAAAATCTAGATGAAAAGATTCTAAATATAAATAAAGTTTTCTGCTGTCACATAAATAGTGAACTACCTTTGTGCCTAAAGCAAGACTAAAACGTATGGTCCCCCAGTTTTCAACCTAGTGTATTTTTACACAGCATCAAATTGGGTCTTTCTTCACACACTAATTATCTTTAATATTAAAAGTGTGAAATGTTTAAATCAGTAAAAATAATATAATATATCATTCTAGGTCACTGGAATCAGAGATGCTGAAATGAAAAACCATTCTGCCATCACAGAGATTATCCTACTGGGCCTTACAGATTCCCCCAAACTGCAGATATTTCTCTTCTTGGTGTTTGCAATCATCTATGTTGCAGCTGTGGTGGCCAATGTCATCCTTATCTTTATCATATCTACTTTCAAGAAACTCCACACACCCATGTACTTCCTCATATTCAATTTGTCATTACTGAATATATTCTCTGTCTCCGTGACAGTTCCTAGGTTACTCCAAAGTCTCTGGACTCATAGAAAAAGAATTTCATTTAATGGGTGCATCATACAGATATTTTTCATTATATGGGCCTTGGGGTCAGAATTGGTCCTTCTCTCATTTATGGCTTTTGACCGCTATGCTGCCATCTGCCACCCTTTGCATTACACCATTATCATGAGGAAAGAAGTATGTGTTGGCATAGCAGCCATTGTATGGATTACTGGAATGATAAATACTGCTGTAAATACTGGAGTTCTCGTGAAGCTTTCCTTTTGTGATTCCAATGTTATAAATCATTTTTACTGTGATATCCCTATAGTATTACATCTTTCATGTTCAGATACTAGCATAAATGAATTTATGACAAAGATTGCCGATGTGGTTTATGGCATGTGTACCTGTGGGTTGACTCTAACTTCCTATTTTTTTATATTGAAGACTATCTTCAAAATCCGTTCTAATGAAGGGAAGAAGAAAACTTTCTCCACATGTTCTTCACATCTCTTTGTAATTAGTTTTTATTTTTCTGCAATCATCTACACATACATGAGGCCCTCTTCTGTCTATTTCCTAGATAAGGACAAGTTTGTGTCTCTTATTTATTCAGTGATAACTCCAGTTATCAATCCACTCATATATTCTTTGAGAAACAAAGATGTTAAAGAAGCAATGAAAATGTTTACTGTCAATCTAAGTGTGCGCCCAAAATCTTAAATTTCATCAGTAAAATATTCCTACAATACTAGTGAGCATTAAACAATGTTTCTTCATATATTACATATTGTACTGAAGAGTCTCTTTGTTGGTATAAAAATACAATCATCCTTATCATATATTGTAACAAAACTGGATTTCAAATATTTTGTTTTCATGATTATTACATTGATACATTATCTTATTTCTTGTTTTCAAAAATACTTCTTAAGCCTTTTCTTCCAAGTAATACAGAAATACAATGAAAACCTAATTATTTGTATCATCATACATACAAATATCTTAGATAAGGATTATTTGATGAGGCATTCCCTTAAAACATTCTAGAAATACCTGAAGCTACATTCATAGTACATTTTGAAGATTTCTGATTTGGGAATCAGTATTTTTTTGAAAGGGAGGGTTATATAGGAAAATTGGGAGAGAAATTAAAAGCCCCAATGTTTGTAGCTCAGGTAGAAATGAGGTGTTCTTGGTGTTCTCCGAGCATGGTTGTTTTCTTGTAAACATTTCATTACTCAAATAAGTAACCTCATTAGTGCTAGCACTAGCACTGATAATATTATCTAATTTGGGTAATGAAACATCTGGAAGAAAACAACCAAGCTCAGATTAACATCAAGAATCCCTGAAATTAAAAATACTTGATTCATGAGAAAATCATCATACACTCACAAGTTTGGATGATTTGGCTCTTCAACTATTGATTATATTTTACATCATACTGTTTATGCTGTTTCTAATTATTATATGACAATCTTTTGCTAAATACACTGAATAAAATATACTTTCATGTTGTAAAATTCTGTGTGGAAAGTCTTTTTTGTCTAAAAGAGCAATCAATTTTCTTATCATAGCAGATCATGTTTTTTTTATTCTTTTCTATTTTGATTTGAAGTGCTTGGAATCATCCTGAAACGTGAATGGGCAGGATTAGAGATTTGCATGATTTTTGTGTCACCGGTACAATTCTTAATATATTTTTGTTGCCTGTCTTTAATAAAAATAACACTTAAATAATTAACACTTAAGTAATTAAGTTTATTTACAGTACACAGAATTGGGAAGGATGAGTGTATTTTGAAAATCAGTAAAATATTGAACATTTATTGTATTACCATTGATAAGGTTTTCCTTAAAAATGTTACATATTGTTTATTTCAAAATTTCTGAACTTCCTCATATATTTTATTCCCTCAGTTTCCTTTCTACCACCATCCCTCCAAAATTATTAATTTAATTTAAAAACAACTGCATTTTTATAGTCAGGATTCTGCAGTTAATTATGTTAATGACTTATATTAAATAATGTATTTATATTTTAAATTTTATTTTGAAATGCAATTTACTCTAATGTTCATTTATTTTCTACAATACATATTTTTATTATAGTACATTACAGAAATGTTTAGATTAAATTTTGCACTCTTGTCCACCTATCCTTTGCAAGATGATAGTTTTGATATATTAAAGACATAGTCATATGTCTTTAAGCTGTTCAAAGTAACACTGTCTTTTGCAGTTGAGTGATAATAGTTTTGTCCATAATCTGTTTGTGTGATATTCTTGAAGCTACCTCCTATTTCTTCAGCTATTTCTTCACCTTTTTTGCACAGGCAGCATTTGTTATGTATTGCTATCTCCTCAATTCTGGCTTTTTATGTATTTACTCTTAATGCTTTGTCTTGTGCAGCCAGAATTAGCCCCCTGTCTCTTTCTTCACCTTTCCTGCTCTTATTGCAAGATCTTTTATTTGTTTTTTGTTTTTTTTTAATGTACTGGCTATGTAATACTTTGACACTTTTCTATTCTTTGTCCTTCTTGTAAGTCAGTTTAGTACTGACTCTGTAAACCTTCATGATATTCTAGCTTCAATGCATTTTTTCAGTGTCCTTCAGACATTCTTCCAAACTCCTTTTTTCTTCCTCAGCTAACTGGTATACAAACAAAACAATATAACATCTATGGAGATTCTCAGTCTAGGACAAGGTCAGGGGTAGGCAACCTTGGCTCTTTTATGACTCGTGGACATTAATTCCCAGAATTCCTGAGCAGGCATGGCGGGCTCAGGAATTCTGGGAGTTTAAGTCCACGAGTCATAAAAGAGCCAAGGTTGCCTACCCCTGGACTAGGTCATGTGTGTCCCTCAGTGCTTTTTCCCAAAGGAACTGGATTTTCATGGTTTTTGTTTCTAAAAATATTTTGCTTCTCATCCAAGAAGCTTCCTTTTGCTTCTCATCCAAGAAGCTTTTTTCTCAAAGAAAAAAACAACAACAAGAAAGTCCAGTTGCCATAATGAAAAAGCAGAATTGGAACAGAAATACAATGCTATATGAAATATAAAACAAAAATGAACATGTACATGGAAGCCTGAAAAAAAATAGTACGGAGATAAAAGCACTAGGAGATATTTATTGTTAAAAATTTTAACACACACACACACACACACAGAGAGAGAGAGAGAGAGAGAGAGAAAGAGAGAGAGAGAGAGAGAGAGAGAGAGAGAGAGAGAGAGAGACTTTATAAGGAATGCTAGTATATCTGCCACTGATTGGTAACTGACCAGTTAGTATATTTGCCACTGGTAATTGGCCAGTTTGGACCATAATGAAAAGTCTTCAATGTAAAACATATAAAATAGAGAGCAGGTATTTATAAATGGGCAAAGGAGGGGTGAACAGTGAACTACCATGCAGCTGTGAAACTCTGATTCTACCTTTTTGAAGAAATATTGTATTCAAATTCTATACTAAATTATAGTAAGGGAATATAGCCATGATTTTTTAAATTGGAAAAAGAAATACCTGTGACCTGTGCTATGTTTATATCACTGTTCTGAATATTCTTTTAGACTTAATTATCAATAATAAAAGACCAGAGAGGTAAATAAATATGCTGCCAATTGCTATGTGTAAATGAGAAGTGAAAGTCTTGGATGAACTATTAAGATGCCTAGATATATCTATACCTACAAAGATGCATACAAAGGAACTGCATAGCCAATAGTTTTTCCCATAATACTTTTTAAATGCGAAAACTGGACTTTGAAGAAGCAGAGAGGAAGAATGCACACCAGTAATTCCCTGTCCTGCATCATGAAACTCTGCACTCAGTCAATCATGCCCTAGTCCTAGCTCTTCTTTTTAACTTTATTTATTGAATTGTTATTATTATTAATTTTAAAATTTTAAAATTATGTTTTTACACTATTATAGGCTTTCCATGGTCATCTGACACAGTCTGACAGGTAGCATTTTAATCAATCAATAAAAATAAATATGACACATTGGAACAATGGTCCTTAAAATCAACATTGGAGAAACTTTAAAGACCAAAAGAAGATATGATATGCAATGCTAAAAATTGTACATATTATTTTTCAATGAATAATCATTAAATGTTATTTTATCTTACTAACTAGATATATCCTGAGAGATTCTACGGCAGGGATAGGCAACCTTGGCTCTTTTATGACTTGTGGACTTCAACTTCAGCTCAGCCAGCTCAGGAATTCTGGGAGTTGACGTCCACGAGTCATAAAAGAGCCAAGGTTGCCTACCCCTGTTCTAGGGTATGCCTAACTGAATCTCTTCCTACTTCCTTCATCTAGCTCAGGATTGTGCAGTCTCTTCATCCTCTTTCTGGGAAAACAGGATTGAACTCCACACTATGGACAAAGCTAGCCTTCAATACTGCATTCTAAACACTATACTGCCAGGACATTATTTGAATTGGCATTATCTGAATTTGAATGTACAATCAAGATTTTTAAAAAATAAAAGGAAGGAATGTAAAGTTGATTAATTTGATCAAGGCTAAAATATAAATAGGTTGTTATCTCTGGTAAACCTTCTTGATTTTTTTCTTTGCTGATTAGAACTGAAAGGACAGAGCTTTAAGGATTTATTTATAGATAGATTTAGTTTTTTTTTACCTTTCAGCTTTTATCTTTCCAATTATATATATTTTTTAAAAAATAAGATTACTATATATGAGTTTCTTTTCCTACATTGCAACATCTTTAATAAAATATTTAGTCCAGCCATGGTGTAAAATTAAATAATATTTTGAAATCTCCTAAGTTATTTTTTAATAGTACTTGGAATGTCATCCAAACTTTAAGAACCATTGGTCAGTTTACATCATCAACATATTATCTAACAATGTAGCATTCATTGTAAAACACAAAACTGATTTCTTCTTCACAGTGTACAAAGATTTCTCTGTTGCCAGTAAAACGGTAATCAACTTCCAGCATTTTCTTATACCAATACAGATACCTCCCTACTGAGAAGGGCACCTGGGATGATTTACATGCTTTGATGAACCTGCTGGATTGTATGTGTTTAGTCTTGATCTATAGTCCTTATTACCCACCATCACAATTAGGAAACATTGCAGGACTTTATGGGAGGGTGTCTTCTAAATAAAATATAAATTCTGGTATATGTATATGTATACGTATACATATACGTAAATGTATAATAAAAAAACTAATTAAAATGTTGATCTCCGAGACTAAAAAAATATTAAGAATTAAGCTTTTGTCAGCAACTGCTGACGTTGTCAAAGTATAAGCCAGGATATACTTTGACAACGTCAGCAGAGCTTTTAAATAAATAGATTTTAGTTGAACAAAACTAAAAATGAAAGTTAGACTTTTGTTAAAATGCCAGTGCTTTTGTTGGTATAGATCTAGATGAAGATATAAACAAAAATTGCTTCAGAATTGGAAGGACCATCCTTCTCTTCATTACTCCAAGTTTCCTCTCCTTCTCATCAATTTATTAGAACAAAGGTTTTTAACCAGAAGATTGGATTATTCTGGAGATAAGATGCCTATCTTATACTTAGCCCTCCACATTAGACTGAAGAAAAGTGATTGGCTCCAATGATTTGCTGATTAGAGATGCTAAACCAAAATATATTTCCATCACTCTGAGAACCAAAGCCTGGCACAAAAAAAGAAGGAATAAGAATGAAGGTAACTGTTTCAATTTTTCTATCCTTTTTTTTTAAAACCTTTCCTTGAAGGCAAGAGATTTAGATATCAACTAAATCTGATACACTACCATTTCATTGTTTTTAATAACTAGGATATTGGAAGTAATGTAGACTGATTTCAACCTTTTTTAAGTACACTTTTGTTTCAGATTGTTATTCATCCTTTTGTTTTGCTTTTTAAAAAATAAGAATATTTTTGAGATTTTTTGAAATCATTATCTTCACTGTTACCATTTTTCCACACATTTATTTATTTATTTATGAGACTTATATACCGCTTAAGTGCAAGCACTCTCTAAGCGGTGTACACCAGTAAGCAATGTATATATATATTTACATTGCCCCCAACAATCTGGGTCCTCATTTTACCTACCCCGGAAGGATGGAAGGCTGAGTCAACCTTGAGCCGGTGAGATATGAACCGCTGACCTGCTGAACACAGTCAGCTAAAGTGGCCTGCAGTACTGTACTCTGACTGCTGTGCCACCTCGGCTCGGTACACATTTCATATTAATTAATGAAAATTTAATATGTAGTTAGATTCTTTTCATTAAAATAGAATCATTCTTTTTTAGCAAATGAATTCATTAGATTTGACCCATTCCATGAATGTTTGCATATTTTATTGCTCACCATCAGCCTCTATAATATCTCTATCTCTATCTCTATCTATCTATCTATCTATCTATCTATCTATCTATCTATCATCTATCTATCTATCTATCATCTATATCTAT